ATTAAATGTTTGGAAGTCTTAAATTCTTAAGAATGACCAAAGCTAATCACAGCTACATCAACTGGTTTAAACGTATATTCGGAATTAGCATGATAATAAAACTAGAAAAATGAAGTTAATTATAACAAAACTTAATAGATCATTGGTTTTCAATTATTAAGAAGACAAAATGAAATGGTCTCTTTCTTTTTTTTCTTGCTGAATCAAGGGCACTTGGGTTTACCTTCTTTGGTCTTTATATTATTGTAACAAGAACATTCTTCCTTGTGTCCGTATGTTCCAGAAGGAACACATAAACACTTCTTACAACAGTAGTTACAAAAGAACTGACATGGTTTCTTGTGTGACGTCTCCGAACATCGAACGTTACAAGCCGGTGCACACCCTTCATTACATGTAGTGAATATATATCAAAGGAAAGAGATTATTTTTTTATGAATTAAGTCGATATATGATATAACATAGCGAATCTGGATATACACATTCAAATATACCTTCTAGACTTAGAGATCCTTCGCCTTGCTTCTACAACCATGAATGTAATTATAAATATATTATTATTGTTCCAAGACTTGTAATGTAATAGACAATATGTATATACATATATTTTGGTCAATGACATTATTATATATGTATAGTTGACAAAAAAAAAAAGACAATATATATGTACATAAAATAAATATTTTTGGTTAATGCATTGCATATATTCTTATTTCCCTATTGATTATTTTGTTAAATTTGTTTTCCTATTACCACATAAACAATTATTTAACAATCAAATTCTCTCCGCACATAGCATATGTCTATCACTGAAGTAAACACATGTAACAGAAGAGCAATAACGAATTATAACCAAGTCAAATGATTTTTTGCTTGGAACTGAGCATAAAAAACATAAATCAAAGAATCCAAATGAGAACATTTAAAATCGTGGTAGGACCTTCGATCACGACTAATTTAACTTATCTTGATCTTCAACCCAAATAGATTATAGACCAAATGCTCCAAACATTTCAATTACCTTACAACTATATATCATGCTATTCAAAGCAAGGCCGATCCTCATCCTGTTCGTAAGTTTAAGAAGATCTAGAGAGAGTGACACATTTTGCAACAATGATAAGCATAATCACATTTAAGTTCATTGTGGAAATGTAAGACCTTTGTAGAAATTATTTATTTTTAAACAATTTTTGTTTCTAATAAATATATTAGTTAGTTGTACATCAGTGTTCTTCTTTTGGACATATAGAACTCTCTTTCCCTATTAGAGTCTTTTAATTTCATATAAATTATGACTTTTGACTAGAAAAACACTTTTCCTTTGGTCGATTACCTGCCTTTTTTACCGTGTTGATGATGTTAATGTATTTTGCTTTGCATGATTTTATTTTTAGGATTAGTTTTTGTTGTTTTTTTGGTAATTTTTTTCTCATAATTTGCTTTTATCGAAGCTTTATTTTAAAAACATAACTCGGAAAGCTCAATTTCAACATAAGT